CACATCAATACCTGCCATGGCCAGAAGGTTTGCTGTGTCTCCCAGCACAGTCTCAAGAGCATGGAGGAGATTCCAGGAGGCAGGCAGTTACTCTAGGAGAGCATCAGCAGGACCTGTATTCATGCATGGTAGCCAATCAGCTTCTAACTTCAACTTGTTCAACTAAGCTTTGACAATAAAACCTGGAAGCTGATTGGTTTCTTTGCAGAGCTGCACCAGATTTTGCACCCTCCAGTTTTAGTAAATAACCCCCATTGCCTTCTTTTAACCTAATGCGTTCTGCAGCATTAAAATTTAAGGAAGAAAAGTACAGTGGCAGGAAAAGTGAATCAGTTTCTATCCACCAATGAGAATCAGCGCTCACCAGTTTGGTTCTAGTGAACTGACATTGTGCTGTTGTGGGTTACTCCATTTCGTACATTCTCACTGCTTTATGAACAGGGCTGGCTGAGTTTATGTACGTATTTAAGAAAGTAGAGGAGCTGGATTTGAAGTTTGGTTATTCAGTTACAACCCTTCCTCATTTTTTTCTGATTCAGTGAAATCTCGGCCACTTTGGAAAATACAAAATTGGGGAGGGATAATCCTATAAAAGCGGAACACTCCAAACTTGAGCAATTCACGTGAACAGAAAAGTGCCAAATGGTCAGTTTAATATTCCATACATCCTTTATTCCTGACAGTGAAGTCACAACCAGTGAATAGACAGTTTCCAATGCGTTTCTGGGGCCAAGGAATTCCCCTTCATCAGGGTTCAGGGTTGGTAGCTAGAGTGTAAATGTGGGTTCCGATGAAACCTCCTGGACAGAGATCTCAGCCTTGAACATGGACAGATGCAGGGGCGGACTGACAACTCATGGGGCCTCCGGGCAATAGGGGATCATGGGGCCCCTGTGTCCTTGCCCAAACTCAAAAAAGCCTATCAAAAAGGTACCATGGGCATCTCATGGGGCCCCCTACTGACCCCGGGCCCCCTCGGGCAGTGCCCGAGTATCCAAATGGTCAGTCCGCCCCTGGACAGATGTGTACACTTCAATGGCTACTGTATATAGCAGTGTTGCCGGCAACAAAGGAAATTCCTTGGCCCCTGAAACTCACTGTCAGTAATAAAGGATATAGAGATTCTTGAACTGATTGTTTGTTGACTGTTTAGTTCCATGCTTGTGAATTTATGTATGTGGCTTAGTAAAGTGATATTAAACCTTCAAGTTTTTTTTTTTATTAAAATAACAAACATGTCTGTACTTACCTGCTCTGTGCAATGCTTTTGCACGGAGCAGCCCTGATCCTCCTCCCCTTGGGGTCCCCCGCCGGTGCTCCTGGATCCTCCTCTTCAGCGGGTGCCCCCATTGAAAGCCGCATTGACACAAAGTGAGTGACTCGGCCCCGCCACCCCCGATCCTGTGTCACAGCATTTGATTTACAGCGGAGGCAGCCAATGGCTCCCACTGCTATCAATCTACCCAATGAGGAGGGAGATAGCGCTGGAGCCGCTGCTTTCGTGCACATTGCTGGATCAGATCGGGCTCAGGTAAGAAAAAGGAAGGGGGGGGGATCTGGAGTACAAAGGGTTTTTCACCTTAATGTCCACAGTCTACGGTCTGGCCTCCTAAAGTCTGAAGGCTAGTAAACTGGCCCTTTGTTTAAAAAGTTTGTAGGCCCCTGATATAGAGGAATAAGGGCCTCCATCCTCCTGCTGGTGGTCCCTCTGGTGATATAAAGATCTATATAGAGGAATCAGGACCTCTTTCCTCCTGCCGGTGACCCCTCTAGTGATATCAAGATCTATATAGAGGAATCAGGACCTCCTTCCTCCTGATAGTGACCCCTCTAGAGATATAAAGATCTATATAGAGGAATCAGGACCTCCTTCCTCCTGCTGGTGGTTCCTCTCCAGTGATATCAAGATCAGGGGCGGACCTCCTTCAACTCATGGGGCCCCGGATCAATAGGGGATCATGGGGCCGCTGTGTCCTTGGTGGTCCAAACTCAAAAAAGCCTATGAAAAATCAGGTACCAGGGGCATCTCATGGGGGTCCCTCTATATATGACTATATAGGCCCTCCCTCCTGCTGGTGCCAGAGTTTCCAATCCGGATGGTCTGTCCCCTCTAGATCAAAGATCTATATAGAGGAATCAGGACCTCCTTCCTCCTGCTGGTGGTCCCTCAAGTGATATAAAGATCTATATAGAGGAATCAGGACCCTCCTTCCTCCTGCTGGTGACCCCTCTAGTGATATTTACTATCTATATATAGAAGAATCAGGACCTCCTTCCTCCTGCTGGTGGTCCCTCCAGTGATATAAAGATCTATATAGAGGAATCAGGACCTCCTTCCTCCTGATGGTGACCCCTCCAGTTTAATGATATAAAGATCTATATAGAGGAATCAGCAGGACCTCCTTCCTCCTGCTGGTGGTTCCTCTAGTGATATAAAGATCTATATAGAGGATTCAGGACCTCCATCCTCCTGCCAGGTGGTCCCTCTAGTGATATAAAGATCTATATAGAGGAATCAGGACCTCCTTCCTCCTGCCAGGTGGTTCCTCTAGTGATATAAAGATCTATATAGAGGAAGCAGGACCTCCTTCCTCCTGCTGGTGACCCCCTAGTGATATAAAGATCTATATAGAGGAATCAGGACCTCCATCCTCCCACTGGTGGTCCCTCTAGCGATATAAAGATCTATATAGAGGAATCAGGACCTCCATCCTCCCGCTGGTGGTCCCTCTCCAGTGATATAAAGATCTATATAGAGGAATCAGGACCTCCTTCCTCCTGCTGGTGAACCCCCTAGTGATATAAAGATCTATATAGAGGAATCAGGACACCTTCCTTTTGCTGATGACCCCACTAGATATGCACCCCAGACCTCTTTCTGCCAATCTTTTTCTTTTGTAGTTCTGACCAACATTGTAGACACAATATTATGGTTATTTGTCTCCAAGTGCATAACTTTGCATTTTTGAAATCCTGAAATATAGTTTCCACCGGTCTGACCAACCTTCCAGCAATACCAAGTCATGTTCCATGCTACAAACACCTCCAGGACTATCAACCCTATTGCGCACTTTTATGTCATCAGGAAAAATACATACCTTACCCAATAAACCTTCAGTTATATCGCTTACAAACAGACTAAATTGAGCAGGACATACAACAAAGCCTTGTGGTACACCATTGGTGATCGGTCTCTGTTGTGAAAGAACCCCATTTACAGCCAGCTGTCATATCTATCCTTTTGCCAACTGCAAATCCACTGAACCAAGAGTCCTCCGAATGGTTTGGGCCATGCAGGTGACCTCCTTCAGAAAGCAGGAGGGCAGCTGCTTTACATAGGACCCAGAAGCCAGCAGCAATCAATGTAGTAGTGGTGCCTACTACAGGGATTTCCAGCTTCCACATGGATCCCACAGGTATGGTAAATATACATACTTACAATGATCTAAGCTGTAAAAAGATGTAAAAATTGCCATACCTGGAATTCAGATTTACGAAAAAATATATTAAATAAAGTTTTTTTTAAAAAACATCAATGATGTCTGGCCATGAAAAAGATAAGTAATGCTGCAGGTATAAACTGTGTACCATTTAATCCCCATCCAATGGGATACATGTGTAAACAGGACATAATTAAAGCAGAAAAGAAAATATAAACTTGTCCATTTTACTGCAAAATATACAAATAATAAAAATAAATATACAGTAGTTTATGTATACATATTATTAACATATATATTACATTCAAGTAAACTGGGTTGGGAGCAGAATTGAATTCACAAGGTCCCCATTGTTTTATGTAACGCCTGCTGGTGACTATTGATTTAAAAAGTCCTCAAAATGGTCTTTCATTCCTTGGCTTATTCTGTTCTTTTACAGACAAATCACGGAGCAATTAAAATATGAAAATATAAAGTTCTAATGTCCTTTCTCCATGGCTGTATGAGAGTGAAAATGTAGAATAAAGTCCAACACGAAATTTCCAGTGCTTCAGATGTTTGAATGAAGTTTACTTCATAAAGTCTAGCATCAGTCCAGGTTTGGTGATTCTGCTAAGAGCAAATAAATGAATTTATGTAACAAAAAAAGTTTTTTTAACACAATTGAAGTCCATCTTGAATTGTCTCCACTGTTGCCATATAAAGAGAAGAAAGACCACTACCAGATCATCGATGATGTTGAGGATTCCATATAGAGAGTCAGGGATGACAGTGAAAGGTGAATAGTGAATTGTTCCCACTGTTGCCATGATGTTGAGGATCAAGTCATTAGATGAAGTCTTTAGTTTGCAGTTACAGTGGAGCAGATGGACTGTGGTGAAGACTCTGGCCTGGACCATTGTCTTTCCTTCCAATTGGAACTGCTTGCTGATGTTTTTCATACAGATAAAGAGAGGAAAGACCACTACCAGATCATCGATGATGCTGAGGATTCCATACGGGGGGTCAGGGATGACAGCAAAAGGTGAATAGTGAATTGTTTCCACTGTTGCCATGATGTTGAGGATCAAGTCATTAGATCAACTCTTTAGTTTGCTGTCACAGTGAAGCAGCTGGTCTTTGGTCAAGACTCAGAGAAAACACTCTGTGTGGCTGTCTGGACCATGGTCTTTCCTTCTGACCGGAATTGTTGACTGATGTTTATCATATGTTTATCATATGGATAAGGAGAAGAAACACCACTACCAGATCATCGATGGTGCTGAGGATTCCACACAAGGAGTCAGTGAATGATTAAAACAAGAACACGATGGCTCCAAAGGAGCAGCAGACCACCAGTCCATGATCTTTCCTTATGGCCAGAACTGTTGGCTGATGTGTATAATCCAGATAAAGTGAAGAAAGACCACCACCAGATCATTGATGATGCTGAGGATTCTACATAGGGTTTCAAGGATGACAGCAAATGGTGAATAGTGAATTGTCTCCATTGTTGCCATGATGTTAAGTCGTTAGATCAAGTCTTTAGTTTACAGTCACAGAGAAGCAAATGGTCTCTGGTCAAGACTCGGACAAGATGCTCTGTGTGGCTGTCTGGACTATGGTCATTCCTTCCGACCGGAACTGCAGGCTGATGTTTATCATGCAGATAAGAAGAAGAAAAACCACTACAAGATCATCGATGGTGCTGAGGATTCCACACAGGGGGTCAGGGACAATGGTGAATGGTGAAGACAAGAATGTGATGGCCCCAAAGGAGCAGACCACCAGTCTCAGACAGAAGATCATCACAAGTCCACCCATGGTGAAGACCCTTCTCAAGGCAAGGTTCAATAGTAATGGAAGGTCGTACAAGTAATCTGTGATCTGGAATAAAAATTAAAAAACTTAGTTGAAGCAACAGCTTATGTTTTCAATGAACATATAGAGCAACTGAGCAGTAAACTACTGTATATTGAAGCCAAAAAACGTTTCATTGCTTTTTGATACAATGTTGAAGAGTTAGAACCTCTGTCAAGATTTTATTGCTGTCTGAAGAAATCCAACCTTTTGTTTGTCCTGGTGAGAAAGTGATGAGAAATCTAAAATTCTACACTAGTCACTAGAAAAGAAGGTGAGGGAAATCTTGCAATGGGGATTTGGTTGTTCCCAGGGGCGGACTGACCATTTGGAAACTCGGGCACTGCCCAAGGGCCCGGGGTCAGTAGGGGGACCCATGAATGCCCCTGGTACCTTTTTCATAGGCTTTTTTGAGTTTGGGCAAGGACACAGGGGCCCCATGATCCCCTATTGCCCAGGGGCCTCATGAGTTGTCAGTCCGCCCCTGGTTGTTCCCCTAGGACTGGATGTGAAGCGAGATCTCAGCAATGGGATAAGACAGCATATAAAATATCAGCGTTTTTAACCACTCCCTACTCAAAATAAAGGTACTGTAACAGAGCCGACCCAGTCTGCGTTTTGGCACTTCCGTTATAATACCGCTTCCCCCTCCTAACACCAACCACAGACACCACAGCCGACCAAACAAGACTAGATGACACCAGTCTGTCTGAACATGGAACTCTTTATCTGAAACTCGAACTGGCTTTTTATACACTCAGGGGGCAATCCCCCCTCACTGCATAATGACACAGGGCGGGGCAATCTACACTTAGCAACAAGAGACACACAGGTATTCAAACTTCACACTAGCAGACAGTCCCATCAGGAGGGAAGGCTGCTGGAGACACCCCCCAGTAAGCTAATACACATAAACTCATACATCCCATAATAGTTTGCTCCCAAGCAAGAAACAAAAAAGAACAATGGGATGCAACCACATGGTATTAAACAATCAACAACCCCCCCACCCCAATATTAGGACAGATCACCCTGTACCCCTAACAGGCATAGGGTGATTTACACATAAGAGGGATATGGGGAGCTGAGACAGGGGTCTCCCCACCTCTCTAAAGTGAGCTGTGCTCCCCACCCAAAGTGACTCCCGTCACAAGTACGTATGTGAGCTTTAGCAGCTCAAGGATATGTGAACCACCAACAAATCGTAGCTAGCATGATACTGACCTAATACGTGTCAGTGATGCAATTTCCAACCCAAATTATACATACATTATAAATCAAAGAGAACTGAAGCCAGAAGAGGAAGCCTGGGGGAAAAATGCTACTTGCCTGACCATCTCTGCCGTCAATATTTTTCGAATCACTAACTGGAATAATATTGCAGAAATTTAAAATGATTGTAAACTCTTTCATATACCCAGTGAAGTGACTGACCTCAGGTGATATGCAGAGATAAAAAAAAATCATCCTACATAAGCTGTATCTGTTTATCTGCAGTATTCTCTTCTCTACATTTGTTCAAAGTGCCCAATTTATACAGCTTGTCTGAGCATTCAGGAATCAGGGGTGGGAACTTAAGTTATACTCTGCAGAGGTCAGTGAGAGCTGATTGGAGGGAAGGGCACCCCCCTCCCCTTCACACAGCACACATGAACAGAGCTAAGATGTCAATCACATGCTGTGTACTGGAGGTCCCTCCCCTGTCACCATTTTTCTCTTGGTGTCAGGAAACCTTGTCAGAAGTGACTCATGCAGATAGAAGAGGAACAAGGCAGAAAACAGAAACATGTCTTTATGGAGCTGGTTTATAAATGGTGTTCCAATTCATTACAAAGGTGTTCAGAAGGGTTGAAGTCAAGGCCACGCGAGTTCCTCCACACCAAATTGGTCAAATCATGTCTTTAAGGAGCTGGTTTACAAATGGTATACCAATTTGTCCCAAAGGTGTTCAGAAGGGTTGAGGTCAGGGTTCTCACGAGGAGACTCACCAGGAGACTCGACTTTACCCACAACAAACTGGTCAAACCATGTCTCTACGGACCTGGCTTTTGAGCACACCTGTTGCTTAATGCTCTGGATTGAGACATGTACACATTATAGAGGGATATGCTTTGTTCATATTGCATGTCTGAGGTTTACAACCACTTTAAATCATAACCACCTATCTGCTTTCTTGTCGCTGACTCAAAAAGTGTTGAAGCCATCAAATCAGCTTGACAGGCTAGCTATTTTCAGAAGGTTAGCAAAGATATCCCCCAGGGGCGGACTGACCATTCCAGCACTCGGGCACTGCCCGAGGGCCTGGGGTCAGTAGGGGGCCCAATGAAATGCCCCTGGTACCTTTTTATAGGCTTTTTTTGAGTGTGGGCAAGGACACAGGGGCCCAATGATCCACTATTGCCCGGGGGCCCCATGAGTTGTCAGTCCACCCCTGACATCCCCATATCTCTCTTAGTATAGGTTTCCTTTTAATCCCACACTTCTATCTCTCTGTATATGTTATGGTGTATGTTATGGGGGGATTCCAAAATATATATATAATTTAGGTTCACAAAACTCAGCACAGTTTTTTTTTAAATCTCTATAACGTGAAATACTTACAGGTTGAGGTCGCCCAGAGAAGCGATTATTGTAATGTCTGATATCTTTTTGCATCGCTCTGTTCATCTTATCTTGTTGGACATCGCATATGTTGCAGAGGTAACGGACCTGCCGGAGAAACAGACATTTTTATAGCAGGACGGTGAGATTTGTAGCATGATGATGATGCTTAGATGGGGAAAGCCGTGCTCAGGGCAGGCCAGACATAGCTCAACTATTCTACTATCATTTCTAGAAATTGCTCCCTAAGGGTTGCAATAGATAGCTAAACAGATTAGAAAAATGGCTTCCTACCAAGTAGCATGTAGCAGTAGTAGCAGCTAATCTTACATGATTAAACAATGCTTCAATTATGTGTGACTGATCACTATTACTTACTACAATACAGTATATGGCCAAGTTTGTGGACATCTGACCATTACACATATAGGAGCTTGCTGAACATCCCATTCCACAACCATGGTTATTAATATGGAATTTCCTCCACTCTACTGGGATGGCCTTTAACAACATTTTGGATTGTGTCTATGGCAATTTGTGCCAATTCAGCAAACAGAGCATTTGTGAAGTCATGTACAGTTATTGGATTAGAAGACCTGGCTCACCATTGGTGTTAGAGTTCATCCCTAAGGTGTTCAGAAGGGTTGAGGTCAAGACCAATAGAGTTCCTCCATACCAATCTGGTCAAACCATGTCTTTATGGAGCTAGTTGGTTTAGAAATGGTGTTATGATTCATCCCAAAGGTGTTCAGAAGGATTGAGGTCAAGACCAATAGAGTTCCTCCATACCAATCTGGTTAAACCATGTCTTTATGGAGCTGGTTGGTTTGTAAATGTTATAATCCTTCCCAAAGGTGTTCAGAAGGATTGAGGTCAAGGCCATGTAAGTTCCTCCATACCAATCTGGTCAAACCATGTCTTTATGGAGCTGGTTTATAAATGGTGTTATAATTCATCCCAAAGGTGTCCAGAAGGATTGGGGTCAAGGCCACGTGAGTTCCTCCACACCAATCTGGTCAAACCATGTTTTTATGGAGCTGGTTTATAAATGGTGTTCCAATTTATCCCAAAGGTGTTCAGTAGGGTTGAGGTCATGGCTCTCACCATGAGACTAGACTTTACCCACAACAAACTGCTCAAACCATGTCTCTACGGACCTGGCTTTTTGAGCACACATGTTGTTTTTTTGCTGACATCCCTGCTGACATCTCACCTCCAATATACACATATTGGTGTTTCCCTAGTGAGATACACCTCCAGCACACATATATTGGCCTTTTCCAAGTGGTATTCCATCTCCAGACGCACAACACACTTTGGCCCATAAGGATGATTATGGAAACTTGGGATGCCCATTCTAATGGTTTGTCCCAATGCTTTGGGATAAATTGGAACAATTCAAGCTGTCCCTGCAGGAACATGGGAATGCAAATCACCTGTCATTTGTAAACATTCATGCTGTCAGCTCCATAAAGACACGTACAAAGCTGTCCACCATACTGCCCCGAACTACATCACTGACCTAATATCCAAGTACCACCCAGCACGCACACTCCGCTCCTCACAAGTCCTCCTTCTCTCTAGTTCCCTGGTCTCCTCCTCCCATTTCGGCCCGCCACCAGGACTTCTGCAGGGTGTCACCCCATCCTCTGGAACTCCCCATGCCCCAACCCAACAGATTATCACCTACTCTCCTCTCCTTTAGGCGCACACCCATGAAAACCCATCTCTTCAGGGAAGCCTACCCCCCCCCCCCCCCTGCTAACTTGCCGACCTCCTCCACTCTTCCCTACCACTCCATCCCCCCACAGCTATCTCCTCCTGTGCCACCATCCCCTCCCTCCTAGATTGTAAGCTCCAAAGAGCAGGGCCCTCAATCCCCTCATGTTTTGCATTGTATTGGTATTGTTCTGTCACATGTTCTGTCCCCCTTTGTAATGTACAGCGCTGAGCGAACTATTGGCGCTTTATAAATACTGTATAATAATAATAATAATGCTTTGATGATTTGCTTAAGGAGTATCAGATATTTTGCCCACAAAGACCCATCTGCCTCCTTTGGCAAAACTATGCCAAACCATGTTCAGTAAAGCAAATGCAAAGTGCAAAACGTACAGCAACATATAGCAACCAATTAACCAATTGACCTGATGTCAGTGAAATGTGGTTGCTATGCCAAGTATATTATCACTGCTCTTGGAATGGTCTTTTTGAATAATGCCATTGTTTATATAGATAGCCCCAAGTAAAAGTCAAAGGTACCTTTTGCCTGCAGAGGGGACAACTGATGGCTCCCATCCATGGGTCGTGTTTCCAGTATTCAATAAGACAGGAACCTGAAGGGAATAAACAGAACAATAATTAATTACAGGTCCTCTTTTCATTATTCATATCAATACCAAAAAAATAATCTTTCTTCCTATGATACAATGAGAAATATTTGTGAAATTAGAATAATTGAGAAATCAGACATTGAGAAATTGAGAAGTAATGTGGCAAAAGCGGGCCGACTTTATTTTAAACTGAATGTATTTTACTGACCCATTACTACTGGTATAAATTACAACATATACTATGCTATATAGACAATATGTGTGCACTTGATCATCACACCTGTGTGAGTTTTTTGGAAATCCAACCCCAACCATGGATATTAAAAAAAGAGTTGCTCCCCCCCCCCTCCCCCTTTGTGGCTATTGCAGCCTTCACTCAGGAAGGCTTTCCACATGATTTTGGAGTTTATGTGGGAGAATTCAGACAAAAGAACTTTTGTGAGGCCAGCCACTGATATTGGATGAGAAGACCTAGCTTAAAACTGGTGTTCGGGGCTCTGTGAATTGTCTAAATCCCTTGTGTTCACCTTGTGGCCTGAAGACCCTTTGGTACCTATGGAGTGGCCCTTTGTTCCCAGCAAGCCAGTAGTGGAGGCATGGATTGGCGGAGAGGCTGTAAAGTCAGTAATCTCTAGCAGTCTCCTGTAATATATTGTCACTCTCTAGTGCCTAGTACACACTATGAGAAAATTAGATGAAGATCATCCGATTCTTCACGAATGATGAAAGCACTATACTACTGATCAGATAATTGACTGATTATTCTTCAGACAGAAATTTTCGTTTGATTTTCTTATGGTGTGTACCGGCCATAACAGTCTTCTGCAGCCAATCTTCAACCTTCAGCTACACCTGTAGCATGTCCCCAGTCTCTACACCTCTAGCAGTCTCTAAGGCCAGCTACCGACATTGGATGAGAAGACCTAGCTTAAAAACTGGTGTTCAAATTTATCTCAAAAGTGTTCAGTAGGGTTGAGGTCGGAGCTCTGTGAATTGTCTAAATCCCTTGTGTCCACCTTGTGGCCTGAGGACCCTTTGGTACCTATGGAGCGGCTCTTTGGTCCCAGCAGCCAGTAGTGGAGGCACAGATTGGCAGAGAGGCTGTAAAGTCAGTAATCTCTAGCAGTCTCCTGTAATATATTGTCAGTCTCTAGTGCCTAGTACACACTATGAGAAAATTAGATGAACGATCATCCGATTCTTCACGAATGATGTAACATCATATCTACGTACTAGTGAAGTAGAAGAGGAAGTCTAGGATCGTTCTTTGCTTCTGATCATGTGTGTTTTTTTCTACTTAATCATTTTTGTTCGATTACTGTACACACAGAACGAAAATCGAACTTTGTGTTCAGGTACAATAAACATTTTCTGGCTTGCACCCTCGGTTTTTGTTGTCCTAACAGTCGGAATCGGGTCTCAACAGCACTATACTAATGATCAGATCATCGACTGATCGTTCTTCATACAGACATTTTGTATGATTTTCTTATCCTGTGTACGGGCCATAACACTCTTCTGCAGCCAATCTTCAACCTTCAGCTACACCTGTAACATGTCCCCAGTCTCTACACCTCTAGCAGTCTCTAAGGCCAGCTACCGATATTGGATGAGAAGACCTAGCTTCAAACTGGTGTTCAAATTTATCTCAAAAGTGTTCAGTAGGGTTGAGGTCGGGGGCAGGGGCAAACTGACAACTCATGGGGCCCCCGGGCAATAGGGGATCATGGGGCCCCTGTGTCCTTGCCCAAACTCAAAAAAGCCTATGAAAAAGGTACCAGGGGCATCTCATGGGGTCCCCTACTGACACCAGGCCCTCGGGCAGTGCCCAAGTTTCCAAATGGTCAGTCCGCCCCTGGGGTTTGTGAATTGTCTAAATCCCTTGTGTCCACCTTGTGGCCTGAGGACCCTTTGGAACCTATGGAGGTGGGTTCCAAGAGAGGCTGCTTGATGGTGTATGTAGAGCCTGACTCTCGTTCCCGGGGATGTCTGGAGCTGTGAAGATGAGTGTATTTTTCTGTCTATTGCCGGGGGGGTGGATGGTAGTAGAAGGCTCTCCCAGGTGGGGGGCAGGGGTGTTGGTCAATGTCAGGCTCTCCACAGAAGGGGGAATAGGGGGGTGGTGTTGGTAGGTGTCCATGGGGCAGACGATGTTTGTGTTGCCTAGGGCAGCACAAAACCTACAGTTGCAAGAAAAAGTATGTGAACCCCTTGGGATTACGTGGAGTTTTGCATGAATTGGGCATAAAATGTGCTCTGAACGTCATCTAAGTCACAACAATAGAAGAACACAGTCTGCTGCAAATATTTATAACGCTCCAATAAAACCTACAAAAAAAAGGCAAATTTCAGGCAGTCACAATAATAAAGACAAACACATCATTTTTTCTGTTTCATGGGTCTAATGTCCTTCCAGGCCATAGTAAGATCTCTGGAGGTGGAGAAGGGTGAACGAAGGGTTAATAAGCCAACGAATGCAGAAGCTCCACAGGTGCCTGGCTCTATTAATGGTGGCTGTGAAGAAGGACGCTGATAATTACACGAAGCACATGAATACATATTTCTATTCCGGTTTTCCTGGTGATTTCCTGGACATATGTTCCGGGATCAGTGTGAAAATGAAAGGCCAGCTGAGCAGGATTAGGACGAAGTGGGTCAGACGTTTCCTGCCCGTAATTGGTGATGGTTCCTTCAAGGTACACAATGACTTATTCATCCAGCCAGGACCCCGGGCACTTCCTGAGGAGGGATGCCCAGCTGGCGTTATCGCCCAGCCGGCAGATAAAACCCCATTTTTCTCTATAGCTGCTTCCTCCGTTGCCGAGCCGGGGCAGATCTGTGTCCTTGTTGTCTGCATGCTACATGCATGCTGGGGGGGGCCGTTTATACAACTTGTACGGGCTGAAAATATGGGCATAAGGCTCATTTCACAGCTCCAGGAAAATGTAAAAGACACAAGTTGACACAGATCTGTAATCATTAATACATTTCTTTTTTTTTTTAATACAAGCAGTATAAGTACTTGAATGTGACCTGATAACCAGCATATTGCAGTCCATGGACAGCAGGGCTGGAGTGTGAGAAGAAAAAGCAGCACAAGGTGCCAAGAAGCATGCTGAAAGGAAAAGAGAGAAGAGCGAAAGAAAGATGAGCTCATCACTGTGCTGCTTCTCCTTTCAGTGTCCAATCAAAAGTTAGGGGCAGGTCCAGGGTGACCAGGGCTCAGGGGAAGTGGACTGAATTATGCTGGACATCAGACTGAGGACATCTATAGGCAAATTAAGTTATGAAGGAGGACATTTGTGAACTGAAGATTTTTTTTTTTTTAAACACAAGCTGTATAAGTGCCTGAATGTGACCTGATATAAGCACAAGCACATTGCAGTCCCTGTACAGCAGGGCTGGAGTGTGAATAGAAAAAGCAGTACAAGGAGCCAATCAGTTCAGGTGCTAAGAAGCATGCTGAAGGGAAGAGAAAGCAGAGCAAAAGAAAGATGAGCTCATCACTGTGCTGCTTCTCCTTTCAATGTCCAGTCAAAGGCTGGTGGCAGGTCCAGAGCGACCTGGGCTCAGGGGAAGTGGATTGAATGATGCTGGACATTAGACTGAGGACATCTAGAGACAGAAAAAGTTATGAAGGGGGAAAACTCTGAATTAAAGATTTTTTTTTTAATACAAGCAGTGTAGGTACCTGCATATGACCTGGTATTACCCTCTTGCAGACCCTGTACAGCAGGGCTGGAGTGTGAGAAGAAAAAGCAGCACAAGGAACCAGTCAGTTCAGGTGCCAAGAAGCATGCTGAAAGGAAGACAGAGAAGAGCAAAGGAAAGATGAGCTCATCACTGTGCTGCTTCTCCTTTCAGTGTCCAGTCAAAGGCTTGGGGCAGGTCCAGGGCAACCTGGGCTCAGGGGAAGTGGACTGAATTATGCTGGACATCAGACTGAGGACATCTAGAGACAGAATAAGTTATGAAGAAGGAAAACTCTGAATTGAAGATTTTTTTTTTTTCAAATACAAACAGTGTATGTACCTGCGTGTGACCTGGTATTACCCTCTTGCAGTCCCTGTACAGGTGCCAAGAAACATGCTGAAAGGAAGAGAGAGCAGAGTGGCAGAGACATGAGCATCTCACTGTGCTGCTTCTCCTTTCAATGTCCAGTCAAAGGCTGGGGAACAGGTCCAGGGCAACCTGGGCTCAGAGGAAGCCGGTTAAATGATGCTAGGCATCAGACTGAGGACATGTAGGAGGCAGAATAAATTATGAAGGAGGAAATCTCTGAGTTGAAGGCGGGTTTTGCTATGTTGGCTTTAAATGGGCGACTTATTTTTAGCTTGTTATTTTTACCTGGAATCCTCAAACTTCCATTGGAGCAAATCAGATATTTGGCTGCAGTTATGAAGGGATGTTGGCAACACCTGCTACTGTCAAGGTTTCTCTTTGGTTAACCCCTTGTCTACCGGGCACTGTCACCCCCCCGCCCTGCCCCCAGGCCAATTTTCGGCTTTCAGCTCTGTCACATTTTGAATGACAATTGCGCGGTCATGCAACACTGCACCCATAAGACATTTTTTATCATTTTTTTGAGACATATAGAGCTTTCTTTTTGTGTCATTTACTCACAACTGGGGCTTTTTATTTTTTGCTAAACAAACGAAAAAGATAAAAAAATTTAAAAAAAAAACATTTTTTTTTTTAGATTCTGTTATACAGATTTTGCAAACAGGTAATTTTTTTCCTTCGCTGATGTGCACTGATGATGCTGCAGTGATGGGCACTAATAGGCTGCACTGATGGGTACTGATGAGGCGGGCAGTGATGGGCACTGATAGCTGCACTGAAGGTCACTGATAGACAGCACTGACTGACAGCACTGATGGATAATGACTAGCGGCACTGATGGACACTTCTGGGACTGCACTGATGGACACTTCTGGGACTACACTGATGGACACTGTTGGGGATGCACTGATAAACACAGCTAGGACTGCACTGATGGACAC